TTTTATTGATTTCTGTCACCATCATGAGGGATTTTTCTCTTCAGTGAGCTGTTGCATGTACTGTGATACTTAAACACGAGATGTTTCATAAGATTATAATGTTATGTCACCTTTTTTGCCCTAAATTGTCACTCTTCAAACAAACCCAAGGCAAGAGCAAAGATTCTTCTAAAGAGTTTTGGTTATATTTTAAGTTTGGGAGTCTTACTGCTGCTACTGAAACTGCTGATGAGATGGGATCTGAGTTTTTGCCCTGTTAGGAACACATAGGTAACCTCAATATACTCATTAGTAGAATTCTGTAGGCAGTTTTTGGATTTTAAATAGGATTATTTCTTGCACTATATGCTAAGTATGGTGAACTACATCAATTTATCATGCATATGTGCTGCAGTTCAGTGGAGGGGGTGTTTGTCTGAGAGGTCGCCTCGCTTTATGGCATATGAATGCCTCAGTTTTGGGAGGTTATGCCGGTTGGACTGGAGGCAGTAAAAATCAGGGAATATCCAAAGTTTTCACGCTGCATTTTCTGGGAATTTTGTCTCCTCAACAAGTCAATTTTTGTTTTAACAGGTATTTGGCTCGCGGTAATCAGATGATTAAATTCACGGTGCATTACCACATTTTTACTTGCTGTAGATGGAAAGACGATTTTCAACGCTAAAGCCAGGCTCTTAGCATGAAAATTCAGTCATGAAAAGAAGTGTTGATAGTGTTCGGTCAGTAAAGATAACAAAATGTACTTCTACATTTGATTATTGAAGCTTTTACCATTTTTCTGCTCTAGTTGTTACATGTAAAGATTTTATTCAGTAGTATTATCTTGTCATCTGCTAGTTCCCCCTGTCTTCTTATCCCTTATGGTGTAATTAGGCCATACTTTTCTCTGCCTTCAGGCTATATTATTTAGAGCAACAAATGACCCACCTCCCATTTCTTCCTGCTGCCACTGTTTACCCCTTCTTTTATCATTGTACAGCATGTGTACTTGTCAACATAAAATCTGTGCTAGAAACATCTCTCCTAATAAAAAAAACTACCTGACAGCTCGTCCATTAGTGCATTTCTTTGTGTACCTTTTTTTTTCTTGTCCTCTCTTCCTATTCTCTCTTTCTTACACTGATTCACTCTCACTAATCTTTCTCTCTGTCTCCGTCTCCCTGTTGTTTTCCCTTTTGCTTATCCCTCTCTTCTGCCTTCATCTGTGCAGTATCATTCCCACTGACACTGACCGGCTCTTATGTAACTGTTAGGTGATGTGTCCCAGCCTGTTTAAGGGCCTTAAAGGCACACTGTCCCTACAAATATTGACCCCCCCCTGGTTTTAAATATTGAAGTTGTCTAATTGTGCTAAAAAGTTCATTTTGTGTGGATTTATTATCGTATGAAATAAAGAATTTGCATGTCATGTTTATGTCTTCATTTAGAGGTCTTAAATGCACTTTGGCAGAATAAAAGCTAATCATATTAACTATTTCTTTGCAATCATTATTTGTAAAATGTGTTAGCAGATATAAAACTGGGAATTAATGTCAGCGAGTGAAGAACTCCTTGTGGAAACCAGTTTATTTCAAGCCCAAAGAAAAACAGGTGGTGGCAAATGATAAGATGGTTGCACTTTTACTTTAGTCGACACACATCGACGTCTTCATCTGGCCATCAGGTTGGGTTGACAATGGTAATCTGAGTTTTGTAGCTTAATAGATGTGTCAGAACTTTAATGTTGCCCATTTCTCAGTAAACGGGTATTCTAAGGTCTTGATCTTGGCATTTCGGAATTTCTATGCAAGTGCCATATGGTGTGTTTTGGAACCTGTATTTTTACTAACGAGCGGTCCCATTTAGGGTAACCAAATAACTACCCGGGTAAAAGGGAGTCTTTGCAGCAAACAGGCAGAGCTGAATCTTCAGCAAATCCTCAGCTCTGTTGGGAATCCATGCAGGTAGAGTAAGTTTATTTTCATTGGTACAAATTCAGCCAATCACAGGCAAAGACAGATTAAGCTGTAGTGGCTGGCTAAGTCACCCGTCCTGCAAACAGGAAGCCTGGGTTTGTATCCCAGCTTGGGGGAATGAGCTGAAAGTGTGGGTCCTTATGCAAGACCCTTCACACTAATGCCTGCTTTGGAGAGTGGTGGCCTAGTGGTTAGGTGGGTTGGAATCCTCAGGTTCTAAATTCAAGCCCCACTCCCACAGCCTGCACTCTGGGTCCCTGAGCAAGACCCTTAACCCCCACACTGCTCCAAGGGTGCCGCACAATGGCAGCCCTCTGCTCCACAGGGGATGGGTTAAATGTAGATGTAGAGTTAATTTGACAGTGTAATGACAATAAAATGCTGTAAAAGAATAAAAATAATCGGTAATATCAGCTCAACAATTTTAAGGGAAACTAAAGCTAAAACATTTTTTGCCCTGATCTTCTTTAGAAATTCTTTTTAAAAATGAGAATATTCACACTATGTGTATCTTCCTAATTGTTAAAATAATTTCGACAATTTTTTCGTTACTACTTTTAGGAATGCACAGGAAACTGGCTCTATCACCAAACCTGAACCTTTACTGCAGGAGCTTTGCTTAGCTAATATTTTTATATATCCAAAGCTGTATGCATCCAGATCTCCGAGCAAGGCCAATACTGTAAGTGAGCCAAATATTTTATTATGATAGATAAAAAGTTGTACAGAAATTCTAATAACTTGGGTCCATTCAAGACTCACAGCAAATAAACTCAGATGCAAACGAAAGAGTTTAATGAAATTTAGGTTTTAGCAACTTAAATGAAGTTGCTTAAATAAAAAATAAAGCTGTAATAAATAATTACAGCTCTAAGTTATATTATAATCCAATAGCACATAATGTAAAAGGAGTCATGCAAAACCAAGAAAAAAATTATGGACACCATTTAGTGTGAATCAAGTACTTTGTACCGTTATGCTCAGATTCTGAAAATGTGAATGACTGAATTTAGACAACATTTCAAATTATAATAAATATTTGCTACTGGCCTATGGAATATTTTATGGCCATGCTTCCTTACACTTCAAACATAAATTAACAAATTGAGTAAACTAATAAGAGCAAGCTCTATGGGTGGCTGAGTAATGTCATTTAGGAAAAGCTACTTTCGCTTCTCATTTAATCAGAAAAGATTTTAAAATATGTGCAATAATGTCAACATAACTCTTTAAATATGTACCTGTAAGGTGTTTTTTTTATCCCTCATGTACATTTTCTAAGTGATATTCTATCTATCTACTTGTTTTTGTGTGTGTATTTTTTGCCTTTGTTACTATCCTGCTGCTGGAACTAACTGAAGTGAAAAGAGGTACCTGTTGGCCCATCAGTTCCCAACAGCTCTGGATAGATTCTAGCCTTTGCTGTTGTCTAAATTGTGTCCCTTTTACTGAACCATATGGGGGAAGTCTAGCAGCATGAAATTGCCATATGGTGCATCTTTCTTGCTCAGTAAAAGCTTTATTTAAATGTCGCCTGAGTTTTATGTTCTTCCTATTTTTGAACCAGATTACAGAAGTATTCTCCAAACATTCTCAGCATCAATCATATTTAAAACAGACATTTTTAAATTATTGTGGGAAAAGCGAAAGTGCCTATGTGAATTAGCTATTTCTATCTAAAGTAATTACTGACACCCACTGTATTCCCACTGGGCTGCCCACATATTGCCTTCAGGCTCATTACAGTGATACATTGTTATTTGTGAGTCATAATCTGCGTTTGATAATGCTCTGAGCTGGTTGTTTACATCATTGGGAGATTAAAATAATTTGAAAATTGTTATTAGTTGTACAGACAGAGTCTAAGAGAAAACAGAAGAATATTTTACTTGAACTTTGCTGCTCTTATTTCTATAGAATCTGACATTGTGAACATGTACAGTAGTCAATAGAATGCATTAACACACAATTATTTTGCTATTAATAACTATAGTTATGATGTACGAACTTGTGAGTTAATTACTCTGTTGCTGTGCAAAAAATAAAAAATTGCATGCTCAGTTAGGCCCCGTCTCAATGCTATGATAGCCACACTCTGACTTCTACTTGGTTGATTTTTGGTACGTTAAAAAAACCTTTAATGTAAATGAAATAAAGAGCTCTTTTTTTGCATTTTTCTTTTACAAATAAAACACATTTAGTTTAATTTTCAGAGTAAAAGGTTTTATACATCAACCAAATCCAGTCATTGCAGATGACCGCCTACATGAGCCACGAGCCTGGTTCTGTTGGTGGTTTCTTCCAGTTAAAGAGTTGTTTCTGCTCTCTACTGTTGCTGAGCTCATGGTCAGAGTTAATAGATTTCTGCAGAATCACCTTCACTGTTCAAGTGACTATAAGATGTTCCTATGTGCTCATTCTTAGAGAGTTGAATGCCTCAATCCTGCGGTCGGCTTTGATTGAGAAACCTTTTAACCAGCTTCAAGAAAAAGTTTAATCTTTATTGCAATGTTTGAAAACTAAGTTATTTATGGAATTTATGGAACTGACTTTGAACTTGGACTGGTATTAACTAACTTTTGTTTGGAATTGGTACTTTATAAATAAATGTAGCTGAATTACTTAGCTGCAACAGACTGTCCAGAGACTGCCGGAGGACTAAGCGGGAGTGGATGGATGGATGGATGGATGGATGGATGGATGGATGGATGGATGGATGGATGGATGGATGGATGGATGGATGGATGGATGGATGGATTACTTGAAAGTAATTGACCACATATTTGGAAAAGCAAAGTCCTGTTTCATTAGTCCCAACCAGGCCTTTTTCTACAGGTGGTTTAAGCTAAATGTAAGCTAAAGGCTCAAAAGAGCTGGCAGGACGCCCCCTGTTTGCATAAATATGCTAGTCTGTCAGTCACAATGGTATACATTTTGTATGTGATAATTTTTTTTAGTATGTAAAAAGACCAATCCTTTTTTTTTTTTTATTATACATAATTATAGCTGAACTCTGTTTTATTATCTTGTCTTCTATTGCTTTAGGTGCTGATAACTGCTGAAGATGAGTAGCGGAGGGGGGGACACTCCTGAGCCCCCCAAAGGGGAGTCTCTAAAGAGGAAAGACTGTCAGTCGGACCTTCGGGGACCCAGGTGAAAAATCTTTAAAAAGATTTTAAAAATCAATAGAGAAAGCTTGTGTTTGTCAGTGCATTATTTTTCTATGATACTGGTAGTCTATTCTCCTTAAGATATACTGCCTATATACGCCATTGTTTTTATTTTTATATGTTACAAACAAAAAACTAACTTTATTTTCATTACATAAAAGTCCAAAAGGTGGTTTGCATTCATGTTCAGCCCTTTTCTCTGATACCTCAGTGCAAGTGGTGCCTTCAATGCTCAATTAATTGGTAAATACAGTCCATTTGTATATAATTTAATCTCTAAACTGCAAAAAAGTTTGAGGCAGAACATTGCACATCATTGTCTGCATCCCCATATACACAATAAGTCATAGTCGTGGCACCATGATGCTGTAGGTGTTGCTGCTCAGGTGCAATTGAAAGGTTAAACGAGCTAAATAAAGGGCTTTACCAACATGTTATAGAGTGCTAAATACTTGGGAAAAGAGGTAGAGGTTTGCCTTCCATCAGACACAAATCTCTAAACATTTGATTTGTGCTCCAATTGAATAAAGTTTGGCTGAAATTATATTTGTGTTTTAAAATGGTCAAAGTTACCACCTAATCAAATGGGGGATATTTGGCTAGACATGAGTTTGTTAACAGATTATTTCTTTACTTATATGGAAGCTTTTCCAAATGTTAACATACATTATGTATTGCTTTCAATGGTCCTTTTTAGAAAGAGAGAAGTATTTGGGTTTTGGAAGGTGCAGGAAGAGAAGTGCTACTGGTGCCTTTATACAGCCTGGGAGTTTATGTAACAGCAGAAAAGTTGTTGTATTAATGATGCATCATGTTCTTTACAAGGAGGTCAAGCGACTCGTTACTGTCAGGTCATAGAAAGGTCACAAAGTTAATTTAGGGTCACTGGGGAGGTCTTCCTCCCACGGAAAAGAGCTGGTCAATGCACAAAGAAAAAAGCATTGGGGCGTATTGTTCAGCAGAGAGCGGTGATGTTTTTCCACTGTTTGTCTTAGCAATTACCACCATTTAGGCCTTTTCTTCTCCAGCTGAGTTTATTCATGCTGTTCATAATTTCTTGCTGTGTTGCAGCCCTAAGAGAAGTACGGAGAGGCGAAACAGGGAGCAGGAGAACAAATATATCGAGGAGCTGGCAGAGCTGATCTTTGCCAACATCAACGACATTGACGACCTCAACGTCAAACCCGATAAATGTGCCATCCTCAAAGAAACAGTGAAGCAGATTAGGCAGATCAAGGAGCAGGGTGAGCATCCCAACCTATTCATTTTATTCCTTCTTCTTTTGAAGAAATTGTTATTGAATTCAAATAGTTAGCTTGCAGTCAAATTCTTCTTGGGACTGACACTTTAATCCTTATAATGGACATACTTTACGGGTATGGATATATATGAATATAAGCATTAATGTTCGGTATGTATTTAGTATATTTTAGATAAAAATTTTAGATAAAAGTTTTGATTGACTTTGATCAGCAGTAAACAAAAACTTTTTTATCTTCATAAATGAAATTGTTTTAATTCGGTTTCGGTCTAACTGTTATGGTCTAACCCCACTAAGGTGTGATCCCCACATACACATATATTTGGTAAACATGCGTATAAAACCAACAGAAAACAAAAATGTAGGTTTTAAATACACTGCTAATACATATGATTAAAAAGATGCTGCATGAAAGATTTTATGCTTATTATGAATGTAGTAAGATCTTTATTAGATCACAAAGTATGTCAATCCATCGTCACCACCTTCACCACCATGCTTGACAGTTGGTATGGAATAATTTTTTTTCTCCGTTATGATTATGAGCAGACATGCTTAGATTGATCCCATCTGTCTCAGGGACATTGTTGCAGAAGTTTTCTGCTTTATTCAGATCAGATCTACACAGTATATGAAATCCTTATCACCAATGCGTTATCAGTTTGATCAGTACTGCAGTTGCAAAACTTATTGACACTTTTTTACAATTACGGTTACAATTTCTCAAGCATGAAGAATTTATGAGCAGACAGTTAATCATCCATTTGGCCAATCTTACTTCAACTATTGGTCACACCTGATGTAAGATTGTTATTTGCTGGGATTTTATTGTTGCTTTGGTGCCGAGTGCTTTAAATATTAGCTTCCTCAGTCTGTCTTCTGCTATGGTAGGTCACAATCATAGACAACAAACAGGTCTGTTGATTTTGTAAGCTACCATGACAGAAAAGGTGAAAATGAAGATAGTATCCTAAGCAATCAACACCCAAGCAGTCCATCAATTTCTGAAAATCATAACACATCTGACCACCTGGTTGCCTTTAAGGAGCAGTAGTAACTGTAGGCATAGAAAAAGACCAAGAGAGTTTATGAGATTTAGGTCAAATTACATGAAAAAAAAAAAAAAACACCAAAAAACTCATTAACAATACTTTTCTCTACAGATTACCAGGGTAAAAAAATATATACTGCTTTATTTTTATTCGTGTTTTAATAAAAATGGCAATTATTATTTATGTTCTTCTTAATAATAGGAAAGCCTTTATTTACATCACAGCAATCAGATGTTGTATTTGTTGCCTTAAATGTTTCCACTGATATTTTTAACGATCCATCTTTTGATTGATAAATTCTAATAACTTTAAGTTGTACAAACTCCTTTTCTAACCTGGCAACCATAATTGGTTCCAGACATTATTAATCTGGGACAGCTCCCATTGAATATGGGACGTTCAACAGAACATTTCAACCAGGAGAAGCAACAACAACTTACACTTTTGCACTTTCACTGTTCCTCTTTCATAGATGAAATTGTGGATTCTGACACAACAGATATGATAGCAGCAGCTACATGTACAGTACATCCTCCTGTGCCGCTATGTTTACTTTGGTTCGGTTGTGGGCTCAGCAGCTCTTGCTTTTGTCGCAGCTGTATGTCCTGCCCTAAACCGTAGTACTGCAATGTGATTGGCCATTCCTTTTGGGCTTGTCTCAAACAGTCTTGAGCGATACAAGATGGAGTCTGGTTTGTTTCCACAAATTCTGCAAGCATTTGGCTTCCCAGGCGAGTTTACTTCATACCGTAACCCTAATATTTAGCTTCCTCTATAGATTCATGTGAGTAAGATTCAATCAAAACTCCAAAGCACTATAACACTACATCCAATCAGGAAAATGTTTTTATTTTATTTAAAGGTTACAATGAATTAAAATGTATGTGAATAATTATGTCCTTAAATATAATTGTATAAATAGCACATTTATAGAAGAGTTTCCAACTTATATCTTTGTGTTTGGCTGCAGTAGGTCCCAAACTTTAAAATTCATCTAGGTGTCAGGTATAAAAATAAAAGGTTACTTTATTATTACAGTTTTTTGTAGTTTTTTTCCACTATAAAAAGTCACAAGCAGTGTCTTATTTCAGATAGCCATTTTTTTAAATGTATCTATCTATCACAAAACCCCCCTTCAACTTCTCCTTCCCATGAAATTGGAAAATCTGTTAGAGGGGTGTGTGATAGCTGTGGGTATTAGAAAAGCTCAGAAGTGATGTTTGTAAAACGAAGTAAAATGAATATGCTAAGACTCCCAAAGGTTACCTTTGAAATCCCTGGAGCCAATGAAGACTTCTTAACTTTTAAAAGTAAATAGAAAACAATCCCCGTCACAGTGTGAAGCCACAGACTGTGAAATGACGGTAATAGTGAGACAGACTCTGCTCAGGCACTTATATAACAGTGACGAACATGCCTTCGAATAAGCCTTGAGAGAGAAGCGGAGGATCTACTCTTCGATCTGTCCCTCAGTTTCTCTTAATCTTTACTTTTTCTTCGTGACTTTATCACCTTTACACATTCCTTGGCATCATATTTAATCCTCTTTGCATGCTTTAGAACTCTTTTGAAAAGCGTGTTTTTTTTTTGTTTTTTTTTACATCTTTCCATTCACTTAATACCATCTTCTCATGGTTTTTGCTCTTTTTTCTTATCTAGTATTTTTTATCCTTCCGAAAATCGCTTAAATATTTGTCTGCAATATTCTGCTCCTTTTTTTTAAATTCCTTTTCTTACTCGAATCACTGTTCTATCTCACCCTACTGTGCCTTCTGTTTTGGTCCTTTTTTTCTTTATTATCATAACCATTGGATGTCTATTCTCCATTTCCCCCTTTCTACTTTTATGTTTTTGACTTTTTCTGTTATCAGATCCTGTTTAAATCCTTTCACAAGATTTTTTTTCTGACCTTCTTTATGAACATACTGTAATGTTATTTTGTTTTCTTTCATGTGCCTCATTTATTGATTCCCTTCACTAATTTGATTGTCCTTTGTATTGTCCACTTATGTCCACTTTTTTATTGTCCACTTTATAACCACTATATCCATTTTTGTATTGCACACTTATATCCACTTTTAGCTGTCTTGATTGTATTTTAACCATATTTAGCTCAATGCTCCATTGAATACAGCAAAAATGGACATGAATGTGATATAGATTCTGTGGATCTTATTGAATTAGGAAAGTCATTTTTTTCCAGGTGGACAAATAGAATGATGCTAACACCACCATGCTTAAAAGTTTGTAATTTCTTTCTTAGATTTATTATTTTCCTTCATCTGATGATAGACAGTTTGTCTCTCTCCAGACCCGGATAATCATAGAACACATTCAAAGGACAAAGAACAATAATACAAAAATATGTAAACAGATAATTCGAAAATAATTTCTGGCCTTAGATCTTCCCAATGTTTTGAATAGTGGCCAGTCCAATTAGTGCTTTCCAACAAATCCCTTTATACTAAAATAGAAATCACCCATCTGTACTCGTTCATGATCACTTAGCAGAACTTGGTCGGCCGTTATGTTAAAGAACTTGTTGAACCTTCATCAATTATTGAATATTTTAGGCGATTGTGTTTATATGTAAGCTTTCTGAATAAGATAAAATCACTTATTTCTAAATCATACGTTATAGATCTTATCTATAAGAACATTTGATGATCAATAACAATCCTTGGTTTTTATGTATAAAATCCATGCCCATTATGACTTTAAACAGTGTCCTAACTGTCATCTTTTCTTTCATCTGTTGTCATTTTCCCGTCTCCTCCTTTTGTGCCTGTGGTCACCCAGTTGGTGTCCATGTGTCATTGCACTGTTTGCATCTGAAAACAACAGCTGAATAAGCACAGGCTCACTCATTGAGATAATGCTCAAGTCACACAGCTGTGAGGTCAACAGCAGGAAAACACACCATTGCTTAGGAACATTTAACTGATGAGCTGAATTAGAAAAAAAAAAAAGGTAAATGTTATTAGAGAGAATAAGCGGGATAGGAATATCTATCTGTCTATCTCTCTATGAAATTATATATATATATATATATATATATATATATATATATATATATATATATATATATATATATATATATATATATATATAAATATAAATAAATTTCTTTGCTTTTTCTTTTCTTTGTTTTATTGCTACAGGAGTGCCTGGGATTATCACTATTGTTGTTGTTCCAGCAGTTAGAGAGACATGATTTTTAACATCAATAAGGACACTTATTAATAACACTTATTGACTATGACTCAAAACAGCCACTCGTTATGTTTCCCGATCACAAGCCTTACCACACTTAACTTTTGCTATGTGCTGCAAGTGCTGCTGAATGCAGTGAATTTCAACTAATGAGTCGTGCATTAGTCAATGAGGAAGATATTTGGCGTCAAACTGTTAAGTCATTCATGTGCATTCCTTAAGGGTGGGCTTATGGACAGTTTATAAATTGGTTTTCTTTCTTTCTTTTATTGATTGGAGACCACATCATTGTTCTTTTTCAGAAAAAAACTGTTCTGAATCAAATTTGAACATTGATTTACTTCATGTGAAATAAATTGTAATATATTTTATGATTTAAAGAAACTTAGGCCGTTACATGTACTTCCGTCTGCCTTGCACTGCAGTGCTGTTCCAGGCTCTGCAGTGACAGAGTTTTAAGGGCTGATGACTCCACAGCTCCAGTCCCAGAAAAGGAATGTCAGCTATGTGGCGAATGGGGCCATGGGAGGCTTAACAGTCCGGTGGTACGGCCATGGAGGAAAGGGAAGAAGTTGTTGTAAAAATGCTCAAGAAAATTAGGCAATGACCCATACTGTGGGCATTATGCCAGCCACTCAAATGTTCATGTTCCCTCATTTGCTTTCATTTTTATGTTTCTGTTGGCGTGCAAGAATCAGACCGGCATTATAGGAACAGAAAGTTTTGCCAAGGAACTGAATATTCATAAAGTAATATTGTATGAAAATACAAAGTTTGCACGTGGGTAATGGCTTCGTCATGACTTCTTAGTTTTATCTGGCTGGTGGGACAGACAACGTACGGCAAATGCTTTACTCTTAGCAGCTGTTTTCTTCCTAGAAAGCAACACAGAGTTAAACATTGCTTCTTTTCATCTTTAGGATGCTGTGCTCTTACGTTTTGACGTTAACAATCAATAAGTCATGCAGTTTCAACAGCACTCTAATTTTTTTTCTTTTTACTCTTATTAATAACCACAAACAGGCTTAAATAGGAAGGCTTCTTTTATTCAGGTTTGAAGACATTTTTCTTTAATAGGTTGGATTATCCAAAATTAAATGTGAAATAATAATTAGCTTGAAGAAAAGAAAATTCTCATGATGTACGTTTTCTCTGGTTCTCTTATAACACCCTCACTTTTATGTATTTCATAACAGAAAAGGCTCCAGTGGCTAATGCAGAGGAGGTTCAGAAGGCAGATGTGTCGTCCACGGGGCAGGCTGTGATTGATAAAGACACTCTAGGGCCAATGATGCTGGAGGTAGGTCCAACAGTTATGCTACATTTTTTCGGGTGGGGGGGGGGCATTAACACAGATATGAATTAAAAGCTTTTTTAATAAGAAATCTATTGTCATGTATCAAATATTAACAGCAAAAACAAAATATATATGTTTATTTTATCTGGAAAACATGGTAGAAGAAGTAGAGGCTTCTTTCTGGATCAAACAGATCAATTTCTTGTTTAGCAACAGTGCTCCCAACTCTCTCAAAATCACCGTGCGACTAGCGTATTTCATCAAGTGCACACGCCACACATGTAATTTCTCACTCCCAAACAAATGCTTGCATGTAATAGTGATGTGTTAAGCGTTACTTAAAATATCGACACCTCAAAATCTCACTCCAAGCTCAGATCAAAATTTAAAGTCCTGTAAAGCAGTAATGCCTGTCTGCCAATCTGAGTTGAGTATTCCGTCTCCGTGGTATCCATCTTGTTGGGTGGCAGCACTCTCTGCCATTGCCATTATCCTATCTAGTCTAAAAAAAGTTTTTGCCAAAGGATGAACATATTTGGCTGTAGACGCACTGCTTTCTAGACTTGTTGAAGGATGCTTGCTACCAGCAAGCTCTGGTCCATGTTGCTATAGAAAAATCATAAAAAAAAAAAACAGCAGTATATTTTCCGTAGGCAAAAGAAATGTGATGATCATCTTTAAGGTATGCTTGGCTGCCCTGCCTTTATTCTCGAAATATATAGCATTATGGTTATCTTTACTGGGCCTGTTGAGATTGACATTCAGGATTCTTCATCAAGACCTTACCTTTATTGAAGACCCAAAAACCTCACCTATAGAGCCAAAATATGAACTTATTTGCATTAAAGGCTACGTTCTCACAGCAGCCTTAAGTGACCCAAATCCGACTTTTTTTTTTTTTTTTTTTTTTTTACTGCCCATATGCAACCTGCATCTGATCTTCTCATGGCTGTCAGAACAACAGGGATCCGATTTTTTTCAAATTTGTCACATTGGCGCATTCACCCAACCTGAACGTCATTAATACTCAGCAAAGGTCACTATTCTGAGTCTTGCTATGCAGAAGCGGGAAGAAAAACAACAACCATGGCAGACGATAATGCCTAAAGCAGTCTTTATTTTTAACGATCTTGAAAATATTGAGTTTTTAAGGTTGGAAAAGATCGCTAAGTGCGCTCCACTACTACCATCCATCTTTACTTCCGTTAACACAGAGCACGCTTGCTGTTTATGTTATTGCGTCTTCTACTGCGCATGCAGGATACTTGCGTTCCATGAATGCAGTTCACACAAGAGATCACATACAAGTCGCTTATATTTGGAAAAGTGAACGGCAACGCAATAAAATCAGATTTCACAAAAAAATGGAATTGACCATTCAGGCCTGCCGTGTGAACATAGCCAAAAAGAGGCTGCTGTTGATGAGGGCACTGCTTCAGTAACTAACTTAATATTTCAGAGAAATTGTAGGATCAGCTGCATGTTTAAAACTAGTCATTTTTTCTGACCTGGGTGTTCCTTAGGAGAGCAAAGAGGCACATTCTGAAATATAATCAACTATCAGTTACTATTTAACTAGTTCTTATTTTCATTTCAGACTTTTGGAATTTAAAGGTCTGCTCGTCTATTTTTGTTTTGTTTTACAAAGTGTACTTTTGCAGTGCACACCATAACTCACTGATCTCAGTTTGATTTCTATCCTAAAAGCAAGTAAAGCTCCATTTGTTCACTATAAAAAAAATGAAATCTAACTAATAAATTTTTTTCCTAAAATAAGTGCATTTTTTCTTGAAGTGAGAAGGTAAGTTAGACACTTTTGCCTGGATAATTTAAATTTAAAATAAGAATAGATAATTGCATTGTCCTTTTTCAGGTGCATATTATCTAATTATCTTTTTTTAAAGAGTACAATTACTCATACCATTGTCAAATCATCCTATTTACCTACTCAAATTTAGAGTAAATACACTTTATTTATTACATTTGTACGTATTTCTAAATAATATTTGCCATTTTTTGAGGTCTAATCACTCTGATTCAGTCTTACAGCGTTGTGCAACTACTACACAAACAAACAAATAGGCCAAAATCCATCCTAAGGAAAACAGTCAGGCTTAGAACACCTTTCTGACTTTATCCAGCATTACTCTGCACGTGACTAAAGGAGATAAGAGCTCCCCTGACTGACAGTGATGCCATCATCAAGTTGACTTGTATGTGTCTTTGCACAAGTGAGAGATGATGTTAACCATGGGACCCAGGCAGGTATAAATACCTTTGGGAAAAGCCAGATTAGAAAAGAAGAGGAGGAGCCTTACCCCTTACACACAGACTTACTATAAATAGGGTTCTGAAGCATCAACCTTGTCTACTTAGGGTCCAAAGATAAACCCTAACGCAGCTACATTTCAACGGTATGCTTTATTCAGCCGCATTGCAAGAAAATGCTTGTATATGTCAAATGTTTGTATATACCCCAATTTTTTTTAAAGAAAATAAAATGCAAAAGACCTTTTCCTTCTTATAGCACTGGTTTATGAAGAAGGAAGGTACTTCTAATACTCTACTTGGAGTGATACAGTAATCAAACAGTGATTGGGGAAAAAGGTTTTCTTCAACAAGAGAATCTTGAAACATGACAGCTTTACATAAAATACCACAGTTTCATTTTACTGCAAAATTTGAGGCAAGAACCTTTTCAAACAGATTAAACCATATTTATTTTAAGTAAAGGAATACTTTTGTAGCTTTCTTTTAGCCAACTGACTGTGCACAGAAACAGGTGTGGGAGGGGAGGCTGTTGCTTTATATTTTTTGCTGCAGAAAAATAGTCAGGCCACTTTAGCCCTTTTATCTCAGTAAAACACTTTAAATTGTGAAAAAAGGCTCATAAAAAAATTGAGAAGGTTGTGAAAGCATAACTAAACTATAGCAAAAAACAAAACAAAAAAAACCAGTAAAATCAAAAAGCTAGTTTTGGTTTTACTGTTTTTTTTTTATTTATTGTATGAAGAAACTGACAAATTACAACATACAAATTCACTAATATAACATTTTTATTGACTTATTTAATTTAATAAAATGTTATTACTTAAGCTTGACCCATTTTTCTGGATTTTCTTTTCCTTAAATTCACTTTTCCCTATTATAAACACTGCTTCAGGTACATCAGCTACTAAAATAAACCTTTTTTTTCAATTTATTTGTTGTTTTTTTCATATATCTATATTTTAGTCCTCTCCCTCTCATCTTTCCCTTCGTCTTCCCTCAGGCCCTGGATGGCTTCTTCTTTGTGGTGAACATGGAGGGTAACATAGTGTTTGTGTCTGAGAACGTCAGCCAGTATTTGCGCTACCAGCAGGAGGAGCTGATGAACACTAGTGTCTACAGCGTCCTGCATGTTGGCGACCACGCAGAGTTCATCAAGAACCTTTTGCCCAAGAGTCTGGGTAAGAAAAGCGGGAATTTTACTACAGAAAATCTTAACCTCATTTGAATTTGTAAATTAATTTCATATTTGCATGGATTAGCTTTTCTTACACTTAGCTAAACAAATGATGCGAAGGATGCACAGTGCTGTGAATGAATTTGGTTAATATTTCAAAATAAACCTGAAATTGTATGTTTTAACCAGTGGCGGCTTATGGAGTTTTCTCCGTGGGGGCTATAAAAACAAAATAGACGTATACCAAAAACCAATCAAACGTATACTAATTTATCAAACCAGTATATTTATAAGAATGCAAACAACAAAAAACCTAATAAAAACACTTTACCAATTTCATCTACAGGTTTCTTTTTCGTACATAAATCTTGTCCTTCTTAGGCTTTGTGAAAACAAATCTGTGTTTGGCATGGTCCAATATTGTGTCACAAACCAAAAAAATTATGTACCAGTTTAATAATGGAGAAGGTATTAGTCAGCTTCATATTTTTAATATATAAAAACTATTTATTTTCTGAGAAAGTGTTTATTTAAGAGCAACTATGCAAATTAAGAAACATCTAGAAAAAGTAAACTATATTACTCTATAGAATCCTGATGTTTGAAAAAGGGGGCAGGGAGTTAAGGCAACAGAATAAAGCGTTAGCCTCACTTCATGCAGTTAGTACTAAGCTTTGTAGCTAAACCAGGTCCTTATTGCTAAACCAGTGTCAGGAAGTGGTGAGCAAATACACTTCCTTTCACCTCAGGGCGCAGCTCTTCTGCGCCCCGAGTTCTCTTGTACCTTTGTATTGCAGAGCTACTGTGCATGAACAACTTTTAAGGAGAGTCTGTGGGCAAAGATTTTTGCGCCCCAAGGCGGAAATACGTCACCAATCCGACGAAAAGTGAAGTGACGCTTTATTCCTTATTAAAGATTAAATATTTATAATGCACATCAGAAACACATATATTCAGAATTCAGAACACATATATTCAAGCCTGGGTGTGTAACTCCAGTATGTTGTTTAGAGAAAATTATGTTTAGCGTTATCTTTTATTGTATTCACTCCATCCTGAAAAAAAAAAAACAGTTTAAGTAAATCACTTTAAGCCCTAAATAATAGACAGTCAGTCATAACTTTAATTAAAAGCATCACTGGCATTGTATACCAAGTGGCAACACAGCATTACGGCACATGCAGAAAACAGTAATTAACACACAGTTTACATGCACTGTGGATTGTGCAGTATTGGATGTTTTCCAAATTAATGTTTCTGAGCCTTCATCTGTTTTGAGACAACAAATAAAAATCCAGAAAATGTAGTATTTTACTGCTACTGTTGTGTTGTGATGTTGTATTGAAGGGGTGGTTGAGGGACTTTACATCTAAACATTTTTATGTATTTTATTGTTTCTTTGTCATTCAGTCAACCATCGCAGCACAGATTCCTCCAACAGGAACAGCCACACCTTCAACTGTCGTATGTTGGTCAACCCTCACGCTGACAGCGAAGCTCGCCATGGAGTCGACCAGCAGGATGCAGCACAGCAGAAGTATGAGACCATGCAGTGTTTTGCCGTCTCTGAACCAAAGTCCATCAAGGAAGAGGGGGAAGGTATGCTTTCTTGCCTACAGTTTACAGTGTTTGCCTAACTTTGAAATCCCTGTTTGTTTTGTACTGTAAATGTTCCTCCTGCTTATTCATTTAGATTAATTTTTTTTGACCTACTAATTTGCAGTCGTTGCCTTAGTTTTTCGTTTTTCCTGTATGTGGTCTGACTTTTGAAAACAGTCTTGCCGTTGCTTCAAAATTTCTCTTTGACTTTGCCCCGTTTTGTTTTTAGAAACTGTTTTTTTTTCCTGCCTTTTCCCACATCTCTTGGTCTCTTCCTTGACTTTCTGTCACTTTCCCATCACTCTTCCCAGCATTGCCCTCCCAGTCTCCTGTGTCCTGTCCTCCTTCCATCACCACTTCTTTCTGTCTCTCCTCCCATCCACTGGGAGAGACTAATTAGTGTGTGGCACTTTGTCAGTTTCCCATCTAATCCAATCACACACACACACACACACACACACACACACACAAACACAGGGAGGGGGCGCAATGTGTCTGCCACTCTAATTTTAGACATCTGACATCCAGATATTTTGCCAATCTCTCCCCTGACATGATGAGGATATCTGCTGGACAGACAGAGGGTTGCAGGCGGACTTTGGTTTGCCTCACAACATTGTTGGACCTGCTAGTAAGACAGTAGATTGACTGTAAATTAGTTATTAGCGATAAATCCCTTTATGAAATGTCTTATTTCATCCCCACTGAATATTTATGAACATGAATTACCTATTTAATAACATTCAACAGATCCCTTGAAGACTCTCAACGTCACAGGAAATATCGTTTCCCTTGAAAAACCATCCTACTTAAAAGTATAGGGGAGGATGTTCTTTTTCCGAGTGGATCATCAAAAGTAATTCCAGTGATATGTTTATGTAGGCCATCCTATGTGTCCTACACCTGTAGCATGCTAAAGTTAACTATAAAGATGCTTGTAGCTACAGAGACACACATATTTGCATTCACAGTATCTGTATTATAATTTGGCTTTACACATATTTTTTTAACACGTTTGCTTGTCATATACAAGCAATACATTTTCACTTACCGTTTGTGAGTCTGACATGGTGAAAAATTGTGCAAATCTTCTTTTAGAATGTAAGCTTGTATGAGTGATGCAAACAGCAACTTTTAGACAGACTGTGCATGAGGAGAAGAGGGCTTGTGCACGCTCTCGCATGCTTTTAATAAGCGTTCCCTCTCGGGAGCAGGGACAGGGTTGTGTATGTGCACTTTTTTTTTTAAAGTGAAGAGGGCGGGGCTTTTCAAAAGTTTGTGTAAATCGTCCACTATAGCTTAAATTTAAACATTCACTCCAAAGAGTGCTCGCTGCATTCGTTGTGAGCAAATAATCAGGTCCGACTTTTCTGTTGCTGGTCACCGGTCAGGGCAGATCAAGTTGTACATCTCTTGGTTCTGCTCACAGGACAGTTTTTCTTGGCATTTCTGCCTAAAGCAGAATCTGGTAAAGTTATATTTTTTTCAGCCGATAACTTTGCAAACACCATTGTCTTTTCTATTGATTCCACTTATTACAAGATATATAATGTCTTTGTAACAACATTCTGGTAACAAAGATAAAAAGAGATTAGAATTCACAAACATAAGTAACAAAGATGCATAGAAGTCACAAAGAAATAATATCTTATTTTTAAAATTGGATATTTGCAAGTTGGCATTAGGTAGTCCAGACCTGTTTGTGCTTTACTGTTTTTAACAGTAAATCCCAGCACTGGATATTTACCGTAGACACATTTTCTTCAGTTGACTTTTTCTCTGCCAAACTGGCAGTATGCAACTTATTACAGGGAGATCAGTTGTAATAACGGTTTCTTGCCACCAGTTCCAGAGCTACTTTTTCAACAATCAATATATGGCAAGTGATAAATTCAACAACTCTTCATGTTGTAGTTTTAAACTGCAACTTTTCAAACTTCCTCGTCACACCCTGGAAATGTTGCAAGCCAGTCACAAGGCAACACAGAAATAGGTCAACAATCGAGCATGTGAGCATATAATCTGAATGAAGCTAGCAATCATGATTTTGGATTATGGGAAAGAATGGAGGCGACTCAGGGGGGAAATGGAAACTGTATGTGGAAAGGGCTGGATTGTCTTAATGCAAGACAACTGTGGAATCCATTGCTCAACCATGCGGCAACATTCTTCCTCTTCCCATTCAAATAGGTGGATCTCCTGAGCTTAGAAGCCTTTTTATGCCGTATAGGTTTGAGTTTAGGAGGGAAAACGACCTGAAGGATTTGATCAGGTTGGACAGGAAACATTAATGCAAAAATTAATTTAGAAATCTGCCAATTAGAATAGGCTTTAGCTGACATTCATAAACAATAGAAAACAATGTAATAAAATACCATTTTATTTATATATATATATATATATATATATATATATATATATATATATATATATATATATATATATATATATATATATATATATATATATATATATAAAAAATATGTCTAGTTGTTATCAGAGCTGACGTGTACTGGGTCGCAGCCTTTCATCCATCTCCTAGGATTCCAGGATGTACTTCTTATACACTATATAAAGTTGTCTGATGGCTGTCATTTGTTTCTCATAACTCTAGATTTCCAGTCCTGTCTCATCTGTGTGGCAAGAAGAGTTCCTGTCAAAGAGCGGCCTGTGATGCCAGCATATGAGAGCTTCACAACAAGACAGGACCTTCAAGGTAGAGCAAGGCTTAGAGACTGGGCTGTTGAATGTGAAGTCAAATTGGATTACAGTCCCAAATACTTTATATTACTTTAAACTGGAGCTTATGGACCTTTATAACAGAAGTCCTTAAACAGATTAAAACTATCTTTCTTACATAGCTGCATATTACTTTATTTAATTCCAAAAAGCACACCTCACTAGTCTGAAAATAGTTAGCCATTGTGTCTGAGGATTCCACGGTCCAATTTTATTTTATTTTTTTAAGAAATGCATGAGAGATCTGGATCAGACCACTTTAGTGCCTGATAGGCAGTTTATGCATTTCTTTAATGTATTAACTTACCGCTACAAAATAACCAAAAAGGATTTTAAAGCACCTTTTAAAGCATGAATTGAAACAGCTACTGTTTTTTTAACCCTTCGAGACTGGACGGTCTAGCCTGCCTTATAAAACCATTGCAATAGTGGACAATAGCCTTATGTTGGAAGTATGAGGCTGCAAAATTTGGAGGAACCACATTTGTTCTGTGGACGGGACATGACAGTTAATGGGTTAAAGATTACAGTACTAGATGGTGGTCAAAGGAAATGGATGAAACTTTAATTGATCTTTGTTTTTTGTATTAATCTGTTCAGGTAAAATTACCTCACTGGACACAAGTGTGCTGCGGGCAGCTATGAAACCAGGCTGGGAAGACCTGGTGCGGCGTTGTATCCAGAAGTTTCACCTGCAGAGTGATGGGGAGATGTCCTTTGCCAAGAAACACCATCAAGAAGGTTAACATAATATCACTTTATAATATTTAAAGCAACTTTGCGTACTGTTATTTTGTTGCAAAAAGGACGCACGTCACTACCAGAGGAAGAATTTTAAATACGAACGCACTTTCTTCACTGTCTGACATTTTCTAGTGTTGAAGAATGGCCACGCCCTCAGCCCTTTATACCGATTTTCCTTGGCAGACGGCACTATCGTCTCAGCTCACACAAAGAGCAAACTGGTCCGTTCTCCAGCCACCAATGAACCACAGCTCTATATGTCAATGCACATCCTACAGAGGTAATCCCCCCATTGATACATCAACTGCTGCATTCCTGCATGAAACACTCCCCAAAGACAGTAGAAAATCCCAAAGCATTCTAAAAACGTAAAGTATAACCTTTTTCTTCTCTTTCAGGGAAAGCATCGGGGGCATTGCTGCTGACATGCCTACCGGACAGGACTCGGGGAAGTCAATGACCCCAACTAGTGTGGGTGGGTCTTTTCCCTCACCTGATGCCAGCGTAACCAGCAACAGCCATCACTCCACAGGAGGCTCAAACACACCTGGACGGGGTTTTGGGTCTGTCTCAGGAAGGGCCAGCACACCTCAGGGAAACTGCTATACTCTCAAGCTTGGCAGCCCTTCTGGCCAAGGAAGCCCCAGCGTCACGTCAGGGGTCCAGAGTGCCATGCTGTCTCCACGTCACCGCCAGAGTCCCAGCACTGTAGCCAGCAGCAGCAGTTGTAGTAGCCCTCATATCCTCCATCATCCGCCCGGATCGTTCTCTCCTGCAGCTGGTTTGCACTCTCCACCATCGGTTTGCAGCACCACAGGAAATAACCAAAGTTTTAACTCCCTTAGTGCGCTGCAAGCTCTCAGCCAAGGCACCCGGATTTCACCAGGCCTCAATGAGGGACAGCATCTAGAATCACCTGACAGAAAACCAGCAGCTCTTCAGAGTCCCCAACACAGCACTAAACCCTGTAGCCAAATTAGCAAGAGCAGTCTTAGCTTAGAGACAGAGTTATTCGGAACTTTTGAAGAGCAGGAAGAATTTCTGTCATCAAACACCCATGAAGGTACGCAGGCAGATGGGAAAGATATTGATCCTGACACCCTTGAAGGTAATGGAAACAACAGAGACTTTACCGATGTGGCAAACCGCCATCTGACCACCAAAGGCCACACCAAGCTGCTGCAGCTTCTCACCACTAAGTTAGAACCTTCTGATCCTGCTTCACCATCAGGGCTCATGGGGGATGACCAAAACTGTAAGGACCAGCTGTGTGGGGCCGGCCATAACAACCAATCCACCTCATTAAAGGAAAAACACAAAATTCTCCATAGGCTGTTGCAGAACAGCACCTCACCTGTGGAGCTGGCCAAGCTAACAGCTGAGGCTACTGGAAAAGATCCTATTGGTCCAGAGTCTGCCTCAGGAGACAGCATTGCTGCTCTTAGTGAACTCTGCACAAAACAGGAGCCAGAGAGCCCCAAAAAGAAAGACAATGCATTGCTTCGCTATCTTCTGGATAGGGACGACAATGGCATCCTTGACAAAGCCATCAAAATGGAAACAGGCGATGGACTAAAGCTAACCTGCGTTAAGACGGAGAAGCAGGACGAAGGATTTACTTTGGCCGAACAGGTAAGAATTTTAGCTCTTTATCCAGGAAAGAAAGCAAAAAAAAACAAAACAAACATTTCTAATTCCACAGGGTCCCATTATCTTTGATTTTATTTTACTAGCTTTTCTTAGCGACTTACTAATAAGCACATCATTTTTTTTCCTCCCTTTTTTTTTTTTTGTTCCCCCTTTTTTTCTTTTTTTGAACCATCATGGGGACTGGCATATGTTAAGGTGGTTCAACCAGTAAAAGGAAGATGGCAGAGGTTCAGTTTCCAAAGGATTATTAACCATCAATATGGAATTCCAACTAAAAGGTTCATTCTCCCCGTCATTTTGTAATTCAATTGGTACTTTCTCTGGTGATGGTGTTTTTTGTAAATCACTGCCAAATTAAATTTGTTAAATTATTTCAATACATAGACTAATTCCTTGGAGTTAAAGAAAGGAAAAAAAAAACAGAACTGGGTGATCACTTAGTTTTACCTATAAGAGTTAAAGCTAATAGTAGTGCATGCATTTCTGTAGCATCTGAGCATCAGTTCACTTTCCTTAACCTCAGCAACTTTCTTGAATGGATCTCTGCAGGAAGGCCGCTCACTCTTTCCTCTCATAAATACTTCATATTTGACAGTCACTTGAGGGCACTGTAAGGTTGCACACCACGACCTGCTGGAATCCAGGAAAATAGTGTGACAAAAAAAAACAAAAAAACAGTTGTGTTTTTTATTGTATTAAGGTGTTTGTCAGATGGGACAGTGGGGTTTAGTAGCAGGCTTGAAGATTGTTAAATTCCCATTTTTTTTATATTAGTGCAGCTTTATCATTTTTTAATGACATTTCTGATATTAATGCAGATGCAATGCTTTTATCAAACATTATACAAATGATTTCAGATATTACCTTTTATGTTTGGCTGCGCTCACAATTTACAGCTTTGCTTTAAGGTTTACAGACCCTTCATTCAGGAAACTTACAAATTCACCCTGTTAATTGAAATAACACAAAACTGAAAAAAATAAATGAATAAATAAAAAATGACTAAATAAGTTACAAAAAAAAATCTAAAAGAAAATCCTTGACAAATTAAAGTATTTTGCTCATGAACAATGAACCAACATACCTGTCAACAGGTGCAGAAGACTGACCGAACATTTACACACACACACATATATATATATATATATATATATATATATATATATATATATATATATATATATATATACATACATACATACATACATACATACATACACGTGTGTGTGTGTGTGTGTGTGTATATATATATATATAAAATGATTTTCTTTTTCCCTAATGGAGGGGTATGTAAACTTAGAACCACATTTGTATGTTAGGGTGTGCACGTATTGCTTCTAAAACCTCTGTATGTATCCTACTGTACATCACACATGACCTCATTAGGGCTGGAAGTTTATTTTTAGCTCCCCACACCATTCATCAGCTAAAGGCCCCTAGGAAACCATCTCGTCCACTGTGTGCCTGGGTGTGTGTGTGTGTGGATGTAAAGGGGCTGGGCTAGAGTGTTTCACTGACTCAGGTTGAACGAGTTTTCTGTTTTTGTCAAAGCTGTCATCAGACTTGACTAGACTTTTTTTTATTATTTGTTTTGTTCAGCTTTTTATTGGTTATTTATTTGAAAATATTTAAAAGCTTTAAACAAAGTCCAACTTTTATTTTTGGAGTGTTTTAAAAGAAAAAAATATTACTAAAGATGTGAATGTCTGTTCACTGAAAATCATGAATCTGAAAACATTTAAGAAAAATCTGGTAAAGAAAACAAGCAAGGACCTGATTACATGATCTTAATAAAGTATATAAATGTAAACGATATTTTCTTTAGGGAGATATCAAAAGCAACATATCTGATTCCAGCACTAGATACTGTCTTTTAAAAGATTTAACTGTTTTTATGATGGTTTTGCTCAAGGTCTTTATTCAATATAATCATCAGGTCATTTCAATATAAAAACCTATTAAAGCTACAGTGTGTAATAATTACAGGGCCAACAGTCAGAAATGTAATATATTATACATAACTATGTTATTTAACATCATCTACGAGCTCAGCCTCTTAACCTTAATATTTGCGTTGCCTTAGAATTCGTTATTTATAATTACATAGGAGCGGGTCTCGCAGCCATGGAGGCAGACATCTTTGCGCTACGGCAGCGCAGAGCCAACAAACTAGCGATTGCGAGATCGCCCATTACGCTCGAAAGTAACTACGGCAAGTTGAGAGAGATGAACTGAGACGGTACTGAACAATAGATGGCAGTATTATGCCTGAGAATACTATCTGTAAAATTATCTATGTAAACAAACCTCATCACTTGAGAAGGTAGGTGATGCGGACGTTGTGGAAGACATTTTGTCCCGTAACGCTCGCCGTACTGTTGGGGGGGAGAGGCGGTGGGGGGGAGATGTTCATGTTGCTGCGGTCTGCAGTCTGGACGTTAGATGTCGCTAAAAATTACACACTGTAGCTTTAAAACAACATTTTTCACAAACTAAGCCTATTATTGTAGGACATGCAGTGAAAATATGCATTTGTTTGAAAAGGTCACTGCTTTGTACTTCAAAATATATAGTGCAGATCAGTTTAAATACTTGCTGAGGATTTTCAGTCATTTCTTGAATTATAAAAGATTACATACTGTGTATTGATTTTTAAAGAGAGAAATTCCTGTAATAAATAGCGTTTTTCGTTGTGGCTGCTTTCAGCCATCTGAGCTGGAGGACCTGCTGGAGGACCTGCAAAACAGCAGCCAGCAGCAGCTGTTTCCCAGTCAGCCTCCGTCCTCTTCATCATCTTCATCAGCGGTGCCAGCTGGCTCCTCTGTGGACAAACAGACCATCATCAGTGACATCCTGCAGATGAACGACACCAGCAGCAGCAGCTCCCCCAGCCAGCACAGAGCCATCCCTCCTATCGGACCTGCAGGTACGTCTTTAGCAGGCTTTTTTTATATTACTCTACTATTCAATCTAATTTTTTTTGATTGAACGAGTATTTTTGGTGTGTTTACATTTTTTTTCTCTTATCCTAGCAAGTTTCAATGGTGTCAGGTTGGGCCAGTCTGGTCAGGGGGCTCCTCCAGTTAGAAGCATGTCTCTGGACAACAGTATGGGCTCCAGCCCCACCAGGCCTCTCCCACCTCAGCACAGAAATAATGGCCCCTATCCTTTGCAGCAGCAAGGCATGATGGGAACTCACACCAGCATGAACCAGGCAGCAGGACCTAACACAGGTTAGGCAAAACAATCTAACAGATCTGTAACATGTAAATAGTTTTCCTCAAAGCTTCGGGAAAGAGAAAGGATTCTGTTTGAATTCTTACAGAATGATCTAATATTTTGGTCTTTATAGGGGAGAATTAACCAAAATTCTTGTAGTGATGTAAATTCCTCTGAATCCCCCTTCAGCAGGCCTTCGTGGCTCCATGCAGCAAGGCTGGGGTCCCCATGCTCCAACAGGCGGGAACTCTGGACCAATGATGCCACACGGAGTTGGTCGAATGGTACCGAGCATGAATCCTAATCTCCCTACAAGAAGCAACGGTTCAAATGTTTCTAGAGCTTTGGTCAACATGCAGATGATGGGAAATGGTGCGAAGAAATAACCAAAGTGGTGCTCCATAGCTGCCATACACTATACCTGATGTTTATGATCTTATTTTCTTATGTTAGACTTGGACATGGCAGCCCCTCCCTACCATCAACAGCAGGCTCCGCCCAATCAGACAGCTCCATGGCCAGACCGAATGATGATGATGGATCACTACGGAAACCAAAGCAGGTTTGGCATTTAGTTCATCCTAAAGTATAATGAAGGAAATTGCTTTGGCATTGTTTAGTCTGACAAAGTGCCACCTCGCAGGCCGCCCTATGGCATTCCTCAGGAAGACGGGATTGGTTGTTGTGGCTCCGGACCTGAAGGTCAGACAGATGAGGGTGCTCTGCTGAACCAGCTGTGTTCGGTGTTGAAGGACTATGAGGGTCTGGAAGAAATTGACAAGATGTTGGGAATACCCACTCTTGCTGGACAGGTAAGCTGGGCTCACCCTACTTTTTTTTTTTTTTTCCCAGAGAAGACAGACGGGAATTTGTTGTAATCCACCGCTCTGTTGTATCTGTGGTTAAAGCTTAAGGTCTTTGTCTTACTGGAAATTAAACATACCGTGTGTTTGAATCTAACAGAGTGCCTTCCAAAATCACCTTCTAGTTTTTTCTCCATCCATCACCCTTGACCTGCTCTCATTCCCAAAGCATTACTCGTCCATCACCATGTTTTACAGGGAGGGATAACACTCAGGGTGAAGAGCTGTGTTATTTTTTTGCCATTTTTCTGTTATGCAGAAGGACCAATAAAGAATGTTTTGGCTTTATCTGACAAAACACCTTCCTCCACATGGTTTAGCCACTCTTCCATAAAGACTCAGTTATTTTTGCAATTAATAGTGTTACTTTTTACAGATTTTCCATCATGAGCTGTTGATTTCAGCTCATTTATTTAAAAAAAAAAGGATTGATCAGTGCTCTGTAAAACGTTTCTATACACTAACACTAGCTTAAAAAATGGGTTGAATATACATTGTCTCAATGTTAATACTTTGTTTTAAAAGTTAGGAAAATATGTCGATATTTTTTCCTACACCTATACTCACAATTATTCACTACTCCATGTTTGTTCCATGAAAGACCAATAGAATACATCAGTGTTTTTGGTAGCCTCAAAATTTCAAAGGTTATTGGTACCTTTGCAAGGCACTGAACAAAAACAAGAAAACAAACAATATAATCTGTCTTCATCTTCAGGGTCCTCTTTCAGAGCAGGAGCAGTACCTGGGTCCCTTGGAGCCTCCCTCCAGCCTTAAAGCTCCCCTCTACAGTCAACAGTACGGGGGGCAGCCAGGTTACGGTGGCTTACCCCCTGACGGCGCATATGCTGCCCAATCAATCGCCGGCCACATGGGACCTCAAAGGATGGCACCGGCAGGCTACCCTCCTATGATGAGAATGCCCGGTGCCCCAGGGCCCCGGCCCCCCGGCATGAGACCTGGTGGTCCCAATTCAATGGTGCCACCGCAGCCCAACAACCTGAGGCTCCAGCTACAGCACAGACTCCAAGCCCAGCTGGTAGGTTTCAGCTAATTAGTTATGATCATCTCTAATTAGTTATGAGCTTTTGATAAGAGCATCAGAGAGCAGCCAATTTCCTCCAGTTTTATTAATACAAAATAGGTGGAGAGACATACAAACATTCTGGCTCTACATTTAATAACAGTCATTTGGTGTTTGAAAGTACATTACTTACATTATTCCTGTTAATAATCAGTACACAAAAATGACTTAATCATAAAAGAAATCACCTGTGCTGAAGACAAGCTGGTCATCATTTTGATTAATTAAGTATAAAAAAAATGCATGACAAAAAAAAATTAATATGCACTCTGAAATGTAAACAAATACAATGTAAACTAGTGTTTGGATAAATTAGGTGAAAAAAATCTTTAGTACAAGCCTCTTAATGCATTCCTTGCTCATATGTTTGGTAGGCACCTTATAATTAAGAGAACGTTTTGATTAAACAATTTAACTAGTGTAGATTGAGCTGGGCTGAATTTTATAGTTTGTTTAGAATGGCCTTCTTTAATGGTGATATCCTATTGATGGTTTTATGATATAGAAAAAAAGGATTTTTCTTTACAAAGTGCTTAATTTTTTTTTCTCTCTGCAAATGCATTTTAAAAAATGTGTCTGTATTGTTTCTTATTAATCCAGTAACAGACTAGTCAGTTAATCTAAAATCATCAAATTGCAGCGTATCCCATTACATTCTGAAGACATCTCTTAGTAAAGGAGCTACATGTAAGCAAACAGACAGGTTGGTGGGGTTCACTGAGTTTAAACTGCAGACAAAAAAAGAAAAAAAGTGGCTTAATCAGCACAACATCCACACTGCTGGAACACTGCGATATATGAACTAATACTTAGCCTCTACATACATGGATGGTGTGCCTTTTGTTACCAGTAAGCATTAGAGACATGGGTCTTTGAAGAAATCATAGCCTTGATGTCAAACTGAATCACAGATATTCATTGTCACTACTGCATAACTCAGATCTTAAAGGTGTATTTTATGTTCTTGGTATGAGCTGCCCCCTAGTGGAGAGTTGAGGAAAAGCACCTTTTGTAATCTTCATGATTATACTGTACACAAAAAAATATTTTGGTACATTTTTGTTTTAACCTCTTTCTTATGGTTTAGTTTTCCTCAAGAAATTTTATGGTTTTATAACAACAGAAAAAATTCTGAAGGTGTTGCTTTGAATATTTGCAGTAAATGCAATCACAACAACAAAAACAACAATATCGATGCTATTATCATCATGGGCGGTTCTAGACAGGGGCCAACGGGGGCCAGTGCCCCTGTAGATTATTTCCTGGCCCCTGTACCGGAGACATAATGCTAAATGAAATTCTAATAATGATATGCGCTGGAAAAGACATGGTTTCTTTGGATCTATTTCATTTTTTTTCTTTAAAAATTCTGTTTTACTAATTATTTAAAGACAACAAAGTGATCGCTTCAGTGGTATTGAGACAGGATCCCAGTTTGCAAAACAAATTTAAAAATATGTAATACTCTCATTTTTACAGCTAAATGTATCTGTTTTTTTTTTTTTGTTCTGATTCTAATTTTATAGAAAACCTTAATATTAACTTAAATTAAGTTAAAAATATGTACAATTCCTAAATTATGAATATATATTGACCTAATATTCCAAATAATAGCTTTATTTGATCCTTTAGCAATATAGCTAAAAAAAATTTGAGTTGCTTTTTAGCTATGTGAAGGGATTTTTATTTTTATTTTAACGATAATCCAAATTTACATTTTCAAGCCAAAAATAAATATTTTCAGTTGGAATACATTTAATTAAATTTTTTTTTTTGCTTCATGCTTTTTTTGGGCCCCATGAAATCAGTATATATATTTTATATATATATTAGGGATGCACGATATTGGGATTTTGGCCGATATCCGATATGCCGATATTTTAAAACTCATGTAGTCGATAACCGATATCGATACCGATGTTAAAGCTGGACAAAAATAAGTAGTCATTGAAAATAGCAGTTTTGTTATCCATTTCTGACACTTTGAAAAATAATATACTCAAATATATTTTCATATCCTGATATCAAATAGATTTTTAAAAACGTGGTATCGATCTATTTTACTTTCAAAATCTCGTGAAATTTCATTTTTCTGTTACAAACTCTCGTGATATTTTGCAAATTCTTTTGAGATTTTGTTGGTAAAATAGATCGATACCGCGTCAATATATCAACATATAAAAATATGGCAACATTTCCTGAATTTTCGGGGGATTTCATAGCATAACGATGACATATAGCAATATTTCAATAGTAAAAGAGATTGATATGGTGTTTTTAAATGGCAATATATCAGCATATGAAGATATTGTGATATTTTAATGTATCAATATTTTTTCCCTCGTCTTTAGAAGTTTTTAAGTCTGTAAAAAAGAAGTTTTTGAGGAAGAAGAAGAAGTAGTATTTTTTATTTTTTTTTTTAGACTTTAGAAACTCAAAAGCTGATCAAGTATCAGGTTAAATATCGGTGGGGTGGCCGATGTCCGATATTCAGTTTTAAGGCCGATACCGATAGGGGGCCGATTATAACGTGCACCCCTAAAATATATATATATATATATATATATATATATATATACATATATATATATATATATATATATATATATATATAGTGTGTGTGTGTGTACATATATGTGGGTTTGTATATTTTTTATGTTTAAGGTTTCAGGTAAGTGGCTTCTATTGAAGTATATTTGCAGTGGTTTTAAACAAAGTTTTTGACATTTTCTAAGAGGTTTCCCTTTTGTTCTGAGATCTGGATTTTGTGTGTTTTGTAGAACCGTCAGCCGGTGATGAACCAGATGGGTGGAGTCACAAATATGAATCTACCTCTAAGATCTAATGTCTCACCCCAGGTCAGCTGCTTACACCAACCACCCTCATATGATTTCTATTATCTTTAACAGTATTCACACCTCTTAAATATTATTGTATACCCTAAATTTTCAATTTCAAATAAAGAAAAATGTATTGATGTGATTTCATGTGATAGGCTTACAAAATGGGAATTGTGAAATGAAAAAAAAAAAACTGATAGATGTTACTCAACACACCATCCAGAAAGTTACAGAGATGCCTCTCAGAGTTAAAAGATAAAGCTAAATTAAGACTTATCGTGGATAAAAAATTTTAGGAGTCATAACCAGTTAATCTACTTAAAGAATCCTTCTGAAATTGTCTTTTAATTCATGTTTAATCACTTTAAGGGGGAAAAAAAACATGTATGTGTGCGCGTTCCTGTAGCTGTAGCATTAGCAACATTAGCAGTTTGCAAATGTTCCTTAACCATTATTTTCTCATCCTTTACACAGTTAGTAAAACAAAATACACAAGCAGCAACACTTACAGACAGGTGAGTTCCTGATTGTTGGGGTCACCCCTTTAGGTGGGATAGAGACGGGCGTACTGATAGCAAGGTGTGCTAATGTTAGCATCTCGGATGAATGATATCAATTAAGGAGGAAAACAAAAATTGCAGTTCTTGGACAGCCCAAATCCAACACACGCTTTTTAACTTAGCAAAAAACTCAGATATGCAGGTAATGACACCTTTAAGTACAGGTGAAAAATAAATGGTATTTAAAAACTATAAAAAATATGTTAGAAGTCTCCAGTTACAGTGTAAAACTATATCCAATATCAATCTTTTTCCAATTTGACATAATTTGAGCTATTTTACAAAGTAGAATGGTAATAATTATTTAGTCTGGAGATTTTCAACACCTCTGGCTATATTTACAGAAAAAGGATGGTTAAAGGGCTAAATATAATTTCAAAACACTACAGTATATCATTCTTAATTATAAAAAAATAAACCCACAGTACAGCATTACCTAAACTGGGTAAATCTGGGTTTTTCATAGTTGTAAAATGTTGATTAAAAAATACCAAGGCGTGAAAGGTTTTTCATGATTTAGTCCTGTACAAGTGAAACGTGTCGTGCATTCTTTTGGAGTGCATTATTTCCCCTATTAATTTTATGGTGATGACAGAAACGCTCTTCTTTCCATTGTCGCATGCAGGGAACTGTCAACTCTCAGATGCTGGTCCAGCGTCAGCGCGAGTACATAAACAACCAGTTACGTCAGCGCCAACAACTGCAGCACCATGCACATCAGCAGCGTGCAATGATGATGCGCACTCAGGGCATCAACCTTCCGCCAAACATGTCCAGCGGCGGGGCTGCTCCTACGCCAATGGCCATGGCTGGTGCCAACCCCCGGATGACGCAGGGAAACATGCAGCGGTTTTCCTACCCAGCATCCAGCTACGGTACTGGCCTGCCATCTCCTCCTCCTCATCCCGGCTCCTCCAGCCCCTTCTCCTCCCCTTTATCCCCGAGTCATCTCCTGGCAAGCCAGGGCATGATGGGAAACGTATGCGGGCAGTACAGCAGCGTAATGAGCCCTTCATCACAGCACAGTGCCTTCCAGTTTAACACTTCAGGTATTGGATTTGTTCTGTGCTTTATACAGGATTTTGTCACTTTTGGTGAGGTGATCATGTTTCCTCTTTGTCATAAATATAGTTCAAAATAAGTAAATATTCTGATTGTACTTAGAGCCTCTTCTACATCAGCGTGCTTCATTAACTCTTAGAAGCCAGACACGTTCAAAATAAGTTATTATTTTAACCTTTAAATCAGGACAAGTTTTTATCTGTTTTTGTCTGATATTCCAAAAATAATCTCTATAAATTTGAAACCAACAACTTTTTTTGTTTTGTTTTTAAATTGAATATGAACTAAAATGTATCTTATGTGCTCTGTTTTTAGGAATGAGCCACCAGCAGCAACACCAGGACCCAGTGTCATGCTTTCCCTGTGGGGCAGGGACACCGCAGAGCCCCCTGCTATCCCCCAGAATGGGACAGGGTCAGAGCCCCATGTTGCAGCAGAACCAGGGCCAAACACAAACCCAAACCCAGACTCCAAACCAGGGAGGTCCGCCAAGCTACCAGACTAGCGGTGACTTGAACGGGTGGTCTCAGTCTGCAAACATTTCAAACATCAACAGGTAACAGAACATTTTCCAGATCTTTATACCATCAAATAAAATTTTTCTGATGCTCTACGTTCTCTAAGACTGTGCTGCATGTCTCTCAGTGGTTATCCCCAGCAGTCCCAGTCTCAGTTCTCGACACAATCCAGTGCTGGAATGTACAACAGCAGCAGCATGAATGCAGTGTCAGGGCAGATGGTGTCCATGACTGAACAGGTGACAAAATCACTACTTCACCCAAGCTCAGATATTCAGTCATGGTTTAAACTTTAAATGTTCATCCACCCATCCATCTATCCATTCGTGCATCCATCCACCCATCCATCCATCTATTCATCCATCCGTAAACCATCCATCCATCCATCGATCATCTAACATTCATTCGTCCATCCACCCATCCATCAATCCATCCATCTATCTACCCATCCATCCATCCATCCATCCATCCATCCATCCATCCATCCATTGTTGCAGGTTCCGTATTTCAAACCTGCTACTTCTTAACTGAAAACTGAGTTATTCGAATCTGACAAAGTTTTGATTTTTGACATGGACACGTTTTTTGGACACCTGTGTTATTTTTTTTTTCTGTTGGTGCAGGTGGGTGACGGCAACCTAATCCTGGAACAGTTTGGAGGAATCGATATGATGAACCAAGACAGCAATGTCAATTCTGTGAGTAAAATTAGATTTTCCAACTCTTTGTTGTATCTGAAAGACACCCACAGATGTACTACTTAACTCAATTCATTTAAAAGAAGACGTACTTCATGATATTTTGTATAGCAGAGCAGTCAACCTTTACCACCATCTACCAGTTAACTGTAAAAGAGACATCAATTTCTGCATCTAAACCTTTGAAAAACTTCAATAAATATTTGATAAAAAAAATTTTAGCTGCAAATTTTAAACACTTTTTTTACACATTGAATTCCTTACACTGAATTTTCAATCTGGTGAAAATTCAGCTGCAAAAAAATTAGCTGCATAAAATTTGCCTGCAAAAAAATTAGGCTGCAAATGTGTTGACCTTTTGGTGAACTCAAGCCAAAGCAATCTACACTGGATGCAGTCAAGCAGCTTCTAGCCAATGAAATGAGCAAATTTTTCAGGGAAAAAAAAAGGAGGTTTGGCACCGGCCACTTTTTCCAGATCAAACCAAGAGCCTTGGCAGACAGGGGCGCTGGTCTAGCTGTGATCGGCTCAGTTATTTCACCCATTCCCATTACATGAAAAATTCTAACCATTTAGTTTTGTGTATTTTACCAATTACTGAGCTTTATTAATGGTAACTTCTCTGTGTGATCCTGGTTTTCTGTGTTTTTGTAGAATTTTTGCTGACCATGACTTTTTTGGAAAAGACCTAACCCACGGAGCTGTGCTAAAACCCTGACACCCAGAGAGGTCAGGGAAAAGTATGAAGACTTTGGGTTTCCTACAAGAGACAAGTGTTTGTTTGTTTTTCAGAGGAGTAGCAATGGAAGAAAAAAGTCAAGACATTTGAACTCCAATCAGACTTCTTAGTTCCTGCTTCAGGAATTAATCGCAAACAGAGTTTGAAGATACTGAACTTCAATCTGAATAATTCTGACTCCAAACACAATTGCAGGAAAGTCATGCCAATGACAGGATGTTTGCTTTGGTGTTTTTCAGAAACGCATTTAGTTATATAATGTCGGTTAAAACGTTCCTCTTAGCTTCTCTCTTTCACAGAACAACTTAATGAGACTTTATATTTTATTATGATTTACTAAACAGTAGCTATCACCTAACTTTAGAATCAATTGTAGGATTCTTTTAAAATAATATTGATCTATAAATGGAAATAGCTAGTGGCGTGCACAGACATTTTTGGTGGCAGGTGTTCAGGTTGGGAAAAGGCACCTTATACGTTGCATGGAGCCAAACAAGCCTGATGCTGATGTTTAAGGATCTTCTGTAGTCCACAGGTAGCAATGCCACATTGGTGTCACTTCAATAAATAACTATTTCAAATCCACTAATATAAAGACCAAGAATCCAGAATATCTTTAAGTTTATTGAGTATATATGACAATTTGCAGATGAAATAAGATTTACATTTCAAATATAAAAAACAAACAACTCTATTATCTTATTTCAAGTGCATATTATGTAATAATAGTTACAAACCCTTATTCCACTGACAGATCATCTTAATTCCCCTTTCAGATTAGGGACAGATAAGGTTATTTTCAGAACATTTACCTATTTCCAGGTCATTTTTTGCAGTCCAAGATAAACACAGAAATACTAATACTTTAACTGAATAGAACTTTATTAAAGTTATTTTTACAAATTCTTATCATTTGGCCTTATGTTTGCTTTTAAATGAAATGTTAAACAGACTAAAGGTAACTTGTGTGCTGTAAAAAAGAAAAAAAGTCAAGTAGATGTCATCAAGCCCCCAACCATTATAGCAAATCAATAGTGACATGTATTAGATGCTTTAAGTTAAATCTTTTTCTAATTTAATCAAAGAGTTGCATTTTAAACCGTTCCTTGTGGCCCGGTAGAGGCCATTAAATATGTTCTGCTATGAAGTAACCGTTTGGAGGTAAATACGCTAAGTTACCTGGACGGTTACCTTGCCCTTCATCAGGGCAAGGCTCTATTGAGGTCAGGCTACATGTCTGGTGAAGCAAAATTACAAAAATCTAGGCTCTGGGTTTGAAAGGTTTTTAAACTCATGAATGCTATTTTGGGCGAAATACTAAAAAAACAGAAAACGATTTCAAGAGGAGACAAACAACTTGTTTGTCCAGAGGGGAAAAGGGGAGGTACTCTAGCATCACCTATTGTCTATCTGTGCACGTCCCTGGAAATACCTATCAGTAATTTCAACATAATAAACAAAATAATTAGCCTTTTGTCTTAAGAATGCAGCACATACAACTTTTAAGATAATTATTAACAGATAACTGGTGGAAATGCTGCCTCCAAGAATTGTTTGCAGTAAAACAGGTACATAAACTGTATATAAAAAAAAAGTTGGGGTTTTCAGCTAATGACACAGATTTATGAAGTGTGTGCAATCTGTAGTCCAGCTGCTTACATTGGATGTTTGCTGTAAGGATGTGATGCAGTTATCTCTCTTCAAAAGGAAAAGTGACATTTGATCTCAAAAGTCTCTGAGGCCATGTGTTTGTGGTTGACTACTATGTGTGAGCTAGCACGTTTGTGTGTAAAACTCTGATTCTCACAATTTCACACTGTAGAGATTTATAAAATGAATCTTTCAATATTTTTTAAACTCCTGGTTCTCTTTTAGAGCCCGACTGAACGTAAAAAGGAAACTATATGAATATTTTACAGTTATTTATAGATTTAAAGATGTTTTAGAGATTATTTGTATGGATGAAAATCAATTATAACTTTACGAAATCTTTTGAAATGGTACTTGTTGATTTGAAAAGTAATATATATTTGAACTGCTGTTGTATACAGGACATATGTCCCCTATTTAAAGATTTTTTTCATATAAATGTGAATGTGTATATTGTACATAGATCCTTTTACCCCTTTGTTCTTTTAGAGCCATCATAAGGCAGCATTTGGAGTTGAATAAATGATCAACAGAGTTAAAATAGGCCATGGTTTAAATTAAGCACACTGTTTATTCAAACAGACTTCCTGTTGGATGTATTTTGGGGAAATTTGACACAAGCGAAAGACAAAGACCGGCTACTGTAATGTTTAGCATAGTAGCACTGTTAGTATGCTAACTGTTAGCATGTAGCACTGGAAAATGTCCAAGTTTCCATTTCATTTTCAGTGTTCTTATGTTTTGACCAAATTTGCCTATATGAAGTAAATGGGTTTTTTTCTGCCATTGCAACTAGAATAAATGCACAAAATGGAGTACTCCACATTTTCTCTTTAAGAGGAACAGCTTTGACATGCTTTCATTCTTTTTATTTATCCAGTACAGTACAACTTCCATGGTTTTCAGTACTGCAGTTAGGTATAGTGCAATACATAACAAACCAAAACGCTCCATCACTTTACTATGCATGTAACAATGTTAGCACATATAACTGGGATTGAAACTCTCAACACTCTTCATTATTAGCTCTTACACAGCATGTATACTCACACATACATGTGACTAAAATTATATTCACTGCTACTCAAATAATGACAGCTCATTAACAACAATACTTATCTCATGCAATACTATGCAAACGCTCTGTCTGCGCTGAGGAAGATTCAACCACTTACAGATGCTTAAACATGAAAGCAAAACAAACTGCCATGACAGCAAAGAAAAAAAACGAACTAATAGCTATCTGAAGACTTGCATACATTAATAGAGCATCAAAACCTAATCACTAGATGACCTCTTTATGAAGAAAAACCCAAATACCCTTGTCCTTCTTTCTCAGGCAAAACAATATCACACCCTTGTTTTTAATATACACAAATTTGATTTTTTTTTTTTTTTTTTCCCCAAAATGACTGCAGCTTTTAACTTTTGGATGATATGAATTCAGTACTTGCAATCTAAGTATTAGCATGCTGTGTAACAAAAAAAAGTATTTATTTGGACCTGGCCCAAACAAATTAGAATTTGCTAGCAACATAACTCCACTCTAGAGTGATCTTTTTAAATACGAGCCAAGTTTTGCATAAGCTTTTTGTTTTAATCTTGTTGTTGATACTTACATTTTTCAGCTTTTAAAGATAAATCATTAAAAATTCAGGATTTCAATACTGCATTAAAAATGTACTTTATCTAAAAGGCTTTATGACTAAGAGCCTTTTCAATCCAAATCAATATGAAGTCAGGGAATTTGGGGAATACACTATAACCACATTCATTTCGGTGCTGTTTTATCTATGCTTTCTTTTCTTTTCATTGCATAATTTTCCCTGTTTGTTCTTTTGGGACATCTTCAACATACTGTACACAGAATGGGCAATAAAAACTGGAAAAACGTAACTGTAAAGAAAATATAAAATTTTATTTCACTCTCCCTGATATTATAACAGTCATTTCTTTGTTTTTTGTCTTCAAAATGTAACCTTTACAACCTCAGAGATTAAATGTAGGCCATAGACGTGCTCCGAATGTCTGAAACACTCAGCAAGATTAAAGTGAAGATGAACACTCGTTTAAATTATCTCAAAATGTCTTATATGAAGGTAAACTGCTTTTCTTGATTTAAACTGAGACAACAATACATATTGGGTAATTTGTATATTTGTACCGTTTGTATTTCATGTAAATATGCATAGATTACTGCCTTAGATTTTTGATTTTCTGTTTGGTGTTTTAACTGTAAGGTTTTATAGAGTATCAGGTGTGTGGAATTCTGCTGAATTGGTGATTCTCCACTTTATGCATCTTATAAGCAGGGATTTTAGGCTTTCTCACAAGAAATGAGACTTTAAGAAAGCTGTGATAAACTTTTAAAGATAAATGTTAGAAAATTCCCACTGTTTCTCATCGAATTGTCTGTATGTTCCGATGTACACCCTGGATAAAACAGTATTTTGGTTTTAAAGGGGGAATAAATCTATTTTTTATTGTTTGGATTTCTTCTTTGATATGAATACAATTGAATTACAGTTGTCCATAGATTATAGTAATATCATAGTCAGAAATCTGATCATTTTAATTAAAAGCATTTAACATGATTGTGGAACCCAGGATACCAGGTTTACAATTAATGCTTTTTTTTTCTCAAAATCAAAAATTTAAGATGGTCCACAAAATATGACCTAAATGTGGAACTTTTTTGATCTGATTCTGTGCCCAACTGTGAAATAAAGTCAATTAAAAATAAATCAATTTTGGGAAAGCTCTAACTAAAGACAGTTACAGAGGCCAAGCACTGAAGCATAATGGATCCGGCTTAAAATAGCGTCATGGTTCTAAGTACTTGCTATGTTAAGGAGACTTTGACCACTTTATGTCACTGTTAGCATTTTCTGATATCAGCTGGCTCTAAAGCCATTAAGCTTTTTGTCAATAAGAACTCAGGGGCCCCTGCTAATTACTGTGGTTATTATATCACCTTAAAAATGCATTGATTCAACATGTTTTTGCAAGAGATTGATTTATTGACAAATAAAAACCTTTTATAAATTACCTTCATGCAACTCAAACCTACAGGTTTTAATAAAATTAGAATTCAGAAGAGTTAAATCCTAAAACATTTCCTCCCTTGTGCAAATATTTACACTAGAAGTTCAATATTAGTTGCAAATTTTATTGAGAATAAAAGCAACAAATTCCACTATTTCCTGACCCTGTTTTTCACCTTTTTAATTTCAGTGTGTGTCAGTGTGCTCAAGTGTGTAAATAAAAGGTTACACTCATTTAAAGTAGTCTTTGGATTAACAACATATAGCAAGGAAGGTGAAGCAGTTTTACTGAAATATTTCCC